TGCTGGGAATAAATTTTAACGTTTTTAGAAGGTCTCTTTCTATAAGTCTATATTATATAACTAAACTATTGTATGTAAAGTAAACAAGGTTTTCAAAATGTTTAAGAAGCGTCATTTAAAATTAAATTAAAATGCTGATCTTACGCCACCAGCCTGCTCAGCTCACTGCCAGCCTGGGGTTCTGTTCACCTAGGCCAGCTGAGCAGGCTGAGCAGGGCCTATGGCCGGGACCCCAGAGCTGGGGAGGGTGTTTCAGGGGTCAGGACAGAGAGCTGGGGGAGGGGGTTCAGGGAAGAAGGCTGGGGTGTGTGTGCGGGGGTTCAGGGATCAGGGCAGAGGGCTGGGGTGTGGGTGGGTGTAGGGCAGAAGGCTGGGTGTGTGGGGGGGTTCAAGGGTCAGGGCAGAGGGCTGGGCTGTGGGGGGGTGCAGGGCAGAAAGCTGGGTGTGTGGGGGGTTCAAAGATTAGGTCAGAGGGCTGGGGGCTTTTGGGGGTGCAGGGCAGAAGGCCAGGTGTGTGGGGGGGTGGGGAAGGGTTCAGGGCAGAGGGCTGGGGTGCTTGGCTCATGGGGGTGCTGCAGAACCAAGCTTCTACCTCCTGCCCCCGCAGGAGAGAGCAGTGGGTCGGGGGGCTGAGTGGGGCTGGTGCTGGGACCATGGCAGGGAGCTGCGTGCCACTCAAAATCGGCTCACATGCCATGTTTGGCATGCGTGCTGTAGGTTGCTGGCCCCTGCTCTAGGAGAAGGGAACCCCAACATTAGTAGGATGAGGAAATACAAATAAGGGAAGGGGAGAAACCCCTAGTGAATATGCATTAGACTTAGTAGCATCAGCTTAACATGTTATAAAAGTTGTATCCCAGCCTGTGGGCAGAAGGAAAGAGATGTAGCCCTGGAGAGGTGCCCAGATGATGGCTACAGGTGATGATGAGGACAGTGATGGTGATGAGGAAAATAATGACTAACATTTCAGGTTGTTCTACAAGGGACGGTGTGAGTATATGGATGTTCAGATGTACATTCTGTATTATCTCTATCTGCCATGCTGGGTTAGAGTGTTTCTGACTTTGCTAAATGTATTAATAAACTATTGCAAATACAGAAGTGTTCTTAAAGTTTGTGTGTTGCAACTGTGCACATTGGTGTAATGGACCTGATCCTGGGCTGTGTTCCCTGAAAGCTGCGCGCCTGGGCGGCCGAACAAGAGACATTCAAGTACCGCCCAGCTGATTAGCAGAGCACGCACAGCCAACGGAATGTGTTCAGGTGTCCCTCCCCCCACCTTGTTCTGTCCTGCAGCTGCTCCCAGGACCCTGCTCGCTGTGCAGAGCAGGGTGGGGGGTGGAGGGGAGAGGAGGGTGCTGATGTTAGGGTGTCTCCCTTCTCCTGTACCCCATTTCCTCAGAACAGGGCAGAGGGGACAGTCTGGCACAGGAGGACTCAGAGCTGCTGTGGTCGAGGTCTGAATGGTGAATGGCTGAGTGCCTTTCTTAAAGAAACAAGTGCACTGTTTCTGAGACTTCCCCAGCAGCCAGCTCACACAGTCTCTGTTTCACACTCTCTCTCCCTCTCCCACTTCCCCTGCTCATGTACCCCAGCTCTGCAGAGTAGAGGAAGGGAGACAACAGAGCTCAGGAAAGAGCGGGAGAATTTTCAGTGAGTGTCTTAAAGAGACAGCGCATGGCTTTCGCGAGCAGCCAACACACACACACATTGTCACACACAGAGTCTCTGTGTTACACACACACACAGTCACTGTCACAGTCTGTTTCTCACACTCACACAGTCTCTGTCTCTCTCTTGCTCTCTAACACACACACACACTGTCTCTTTCACACTCACCTCCCAACATGTACTGGTGTTATTCTTGTTATTACTTCTTGGTACTGCCTGCAATGCACATATATTCTCTGTAATTTTATTCTTTCAAAGTGTGTTATTTGAGTGTTTTGACCGGTCTATGCATTTCATAATTTTTATTTCTCTTACACTTAAATTAAATTCTTTGAGTAGTGAGTTCTAAAATGCCTAACCTGTCCTGGCTGGAGTAATTATCTCTATGATAAATTTTTAAAAATATATATTATATCTAGGAATTTTGTTTCTACTGGTGGCGCACATCCGCACATGCCTCGGTGCACATAACAAAATTTATTCTGCACATGAATGGAAAAAAATTAGAGGGAACATTGATCCTGGGACAAGAACCTGTCAACCCTCACTGATAACAGGGAGTTCTTAAGTAATCAATAAAATTAATCTATGATTCATAGATTGGGCTGCAATCCAAATTTAAAAGCTCTCCAGAGTCATGAGCAGCGAGCAACCGGCAAGGGGCAAGCCAGAGAGTGAGGAGATTCCCAGCCTGATCCCCAGAACTCAGACAGCCTGGCCCAGTGCTCAGCACCACCTCCTTGAAGTTGGGAACAAACCAGGCCAGACACCAGCTTGATGCCACCACCTGTCAGTGCTGCAGCTGGTGTCGGCTGTTAGAGCAAACACAGTGACAGAGAATTGAAGAGAATAAACTGCAGAGGTGCTAACTCAGTGCTACAGAAAGCTTTAGTCTCCACAAGCAAACCCCACCACACAGCAGATGCAACAGGAAAACTAACTTGTACATTGAACTCTAACAGGGCAGAGGGGGGTGTCACAGTAGATGGGCAAGGAGAGCACAGAGCAGAGCCCCCAGAGCCGGTCACTAGCCCCAGACTGGCTTCAGCAGTGGATTTTGTAAAGCTTGGGTGACCATCGTTCCCCCTGAATCACCTGAACGTTTCTTCAGTCCCCTCAGTGCAGGATCTAACCAGGCTCAGGATATTAAGCAACTTCTCTGCTGCTGCTGAAACAGAGCAAAAATCCAGAGCGCTGTTAATCATAGACTCTGGTACATCCCACAGGCAACAAAGCCCCAGCAGCTCTCCTTGACCAGGTCTGTGCGGACAGACACGGCTCAACCAGGGGCAGCTGGGGCAGGCCAGCCAGGCACAGATTAGGAGGATGTTTTTTGTCACTCAGACCTCACCGAGAAGGGGGGCATTTTTCTGGCCTTTGGTGCTGACAGACCCTTGAATGGTGAGCCCCTCTGCAAGGCCCTTCTGAAGCTTGGTACTTGAGAGATTTTAGTGACCAACCTATTGCATCGCTCTAGCTAGCCTGCAACTCACTGAGGGTTCCTGTGTCTGAAAGGAGCCAAGTGGCCCCTTATTTTGGGTGTTTCCGACTATATATCTATATATCTATATATATAGAATGAGAAGTTTTGTTTTCAGAGATTCACAGTAGCCACAAGTCTAACTGAAATGAAAGGAGGGTCAGATAGAGGATCAACACATCTGAAAATCAGGCCCGAGTTGGGCAGTCAAATATTGAAGCCCAGCTCAAAGGCCATATTTTACAATATGGGCCACTGGCCACAGGAAATCGAACCGCTCAGGTTGTTCACAGCTCTGAGTAGGGTTCTAGAGAACACAAGATTGCTGTATTTGGTAATGACTCACCTTAGCGAGCCGCACTCAATGCTTAGACTCCTTTGAGAAGACTGTGATAGAACATCAGGTTTCAATGTAAATTTAGCCAGCTCTGCACCAAGGCCTCCGGACACTTACACTTTGTCTAGCTCTCCTGTATGGTGGGTCCTCTAATGGGTTTAACTATTTAGGGTTCCAGATCTCACTGAAAAGAGTAATTGATGACCCTGAACCTGTTCCCTCTACTCAAACACTAAGGATTGATACTTCAGGCTGTGAGCCATGGGCTCATGACTTCAGATTTATCCGGGAAGAGACAAGGGATACTTAGATACACTCCAATACCTCATCAAAGTCTTGATATGTAATGTCCAGTTACTAACCCTGGAGAGGGAACTTTGCACGGCAAAGGCCTTGCTGCTCAACCCCTCTGGTTGACGGAAATGGGGCCCCCACTTCAAATACATCACCACAAATGTGGGGAAGAATCTGCATCATCACTAGGGTGTATATGGAGCTGTGCTTCAACCCCATTGTGACAGAAATGGCAATTTCCTGGACACACCTCACAGAGTGAATTTTCAGTATTTTAGGACATGATTGTATTAAAGTGCAAATGTTTATGTGTCACTGCAGGATTGTAGAGAACTTCTCTAGGAGACACAACTAATATAAATCTTGGGGACAGGAGTGCGGGGGGGCAACAGTCCCTGAACCATGGCCACACCCCTTTCCCTGTGAGGCCCCACCCTCCTTCTGTTTCTTCCCCTGAGGCTCCACCCCCTGCTCACTCCTCTCCATCCCCTCTCCTCTGTCGCTCACACTTAAGGCAGGTAAAGTGATGGGGCCATGGTCCTCTAGACCCCCCGTTCCAGAGCCCCTAGTGAAAAGGGGTTTGCTAGGAAATACTCGAGATGTGTGGAAAGCACTTACCCACCTCCAGAGCTATTCTTCTGAAGCTACACCTTAAGGAGAAACCCGTTGTATGGCTGATTACCTATTCACGGACACTTCCCCAGGAGCTGTCTCATCCCCCTCTCCTCAGATATTTGGTTGCACACCCTGGGGAGGTAACTGGATTGCCATTGGATACTGGCAGAGACATCCACCCCCTCCTTACTGTCAGCTGTCCCATTGGCAGTTTGCCGCACACAGTCCCCTACAGGCCTGGAGCTAACTGGGGACGGAGATGCAGCAGGTTTTCCCAGCACTGCGCGGGCAGAGTGGGCAAACCTGGGCAAAGTGACCCTGCTGGTCACATATGGCACATCACTTTCTCCCACCCATCTCAGGGCTTCTGGGAGGTGGTTTCACTAGTGTGGGTCTAGGCTTGGGCCTGCTCCCTGTCCTCTGATCCCATTTACTTCCTATTAGGTTTTCTATCAAATCCACGCCGACTATCTGCATAATGGTTGGCCCATGTCCCAGCTATGCCTTCATCTTCAGGATTTTTGTCTATTACCAGGATTTCAGGTCTGGGTGGGGGGAAGCATTTAGAGAATTGTTCTAAAAACATTAATTCATAGGCCTCATGGACCATGGAAACCCTACATCCTCATTTCCTTAAATAATCCCTAATTTGGTTTGAAACCTCAGCACAAGTCATGTTCCTGTTTTTCTGAACTCCCAAGAACTTCTCCTAGATGCTTCAGGGGTCACTTTAAACCTTTTTGACACACTTTGTTCACATCACTCATAATGTCTATAACCCTCCCTTCCCACAAGGCTAAATATGTCCCAGGCCTTTGTCGCAGACAGTTGTGGAGCCAGGTACCATGCCATGTCCACTTTTCCCACCTCATTCAATTCACACCCCATCTCAAAAGCATTTAGAAACATAGCCAGGCCCCCCACCTCCCTAAAGTGAGGAAGAAATTTGGAATCTTTGCCACCCACTGGGACAAGTACCTAAGGAGTGGGTTTACCTACCTTCAGTTTCTCCAGCTCAATATGCTGCTGGCGCTCCTTCTCCTTTTCTTCTCTCTCGTGCTTGCGCTGCGTCTCCTTTTCTTCTCTCTCCCGCTGGCGCTCCTCATGCTGGCGCTGCTTCTCCTTTTCTTCTCTCTCTCGCTGGCGCTGCTTCTCCTTTTCTTCTGTCTCTCGCTGGAGCTCCTCATGCTGGCGCTGCTTCTCCTTTTCTTCTCTCTCGCGCTGGCACTGCTTCTCCTTTTCTTCTCCCTCTCGCTGGCACTGCTTCTCCTTTTCTTCTCCCTCTCGCTGGCGCTGCTTCTCCTTTTCTTCTCCCTCTCGCTGGCGCTGCTTCTCCTTTTCTTCTCCCTCTCGCTG